TTTAGGGTTTAGGGTACCATACTTTATTTTTTTTTGGGACCTGTTCCTTAAAGGAACCATTATAAAATAAAAGTCTATACTTTTTTCTCCCTGGTTACTTCAAAGCCCAGGCATCGCTCTCCTTCGGTCAGCTCCAGGACCCTGCGGGGTGGTTTAGGGCTGTTAGGGGGTTTAGGGTTTTTAGGGGGTTTAGGGGGGTTAGGGCTTTGGGGGGTTTAGGGGGGTTTAGGGGTTTAGGTGGTTTAGGGTTTTTAGGGTTTTTAGGGTTTTGGGGTGGTTTAGGGGGTTTAAGGGTTTGGGTTTAGGGGTTTAGGGTGTTTGGGGGGTTTAGGGGGGTTTAGGGGGCTTTAGGGGTTAGGGTTTTAATTTAGGGGGTTTTGCGGTTAGGGTTTAGGGGTTTAGGGTTTTTGGGGGGTTTAGGGGTTTACTGTAGGGTTTAGAGTCCAGGACAGCACCAGGCCAGAGATTTGGGCGGGTTCCAAAATGTCGCTTCTGAAAGGGATTCCCACTGGAGTGCTGTAAGGGTTTGCTGTAAACCCTAAACCCTAAATCCCTAAACCCTAAACCTAAACCCTAAACCCCTAAGCCCTAAACCCCTAAACCCTGTACCCCTAAACCCCTAAACCCTCAAACTCTAAACATCGAACCCCGGGTTTCACAAGGGTTTGACCATAAGGGCTCCGCGGCAGCCAGGACTGAGGTTATTGTTGGCTTCGGGGTTTCAGAAGGTTTTCTTAAATGGGTTCTACTATATTATTGATTCTTAGGGCTCTATAACTTAGGGGCTGAGTAGGTAACCTTTAACCTTTTGGCGCTTATATGGTCCTACTACAATTCAAAAGGTTAGCCTTTTTTAGGCTAGGGTACTCAGCCCTTAAGATAAGGGTTTAGGGTATGGCTCTTCGGTTTCTATGATGGTTCTATGAGGGCTTACTATTCGGGCTTCATGTGGGTTCGATGGGGTTTCAGAAGGGTTCCAACGGGGGTTCTTGAATTAAGGCCTTCCCTATACCCTTAACCCCCTAAACCCTAAACCCTAAACCCTAAACCCGAAACCCTAAGCATAAGGACAAGGGTTGCACAAGCTCTTTGAGAAATCCACAAGTTTTAGGGGCTTGGTATACAAGCCAGCCGGACCGGGGGCCCTCATTAAGGGTCCCTTTCAGGGGTGCTTTAAGGGGTTCTCTGAGGGGTTTTCTGTAAGGGGTCCTTCAACAGGTGCTTTCAGGGGTTCTGTAAGGGTTCCCTTGAGGGGTCCTTTAAGGGGTTCTTCAAGGGGTTCTTTGAGGGGTCCTCTAAGGGGTGATTTAAGGGGTGCTTTAAGGGGTTCCTTTGAGGGGTCCTTTAAGGACCCAGCACCCTATTCTAGTTGTTCAGGCCCTTGTTTATGTGCCCCCTCGAAAGCGAACACACGCGGAGGATGTGAACCACCCCGAGACGAATCGCTTCTTCAGCATGCACGGCAGGAGCCCACCACCAACTACGACCCGTAAACTGGATTTGGGTACTTATCTAAATTAGCACGACACCCTTTTAAGAAAGACCCTGAAAAGGACCCCAATTTAGAGAGCTATCCATTTAAGGTTGTTGAGGTTAGGGGCAGATTTTGGGGGTTCAAGGTTTAGGGCAAGAGCTCTTCCTGAATGTAGGGGCCTTAAGAATTAGAATAGAGTTTTGGGGGTTCCTTTTTCATAATTATAGTATAGTATACCCCCCCCAAACTCTAGGCCCCAACACCCTAAACCCTTATAGTAGCCTTTGTAGAACCTTTTCAGGAACCCGTTAACGGAACCCCCAAAACCCTATTCTAAGTATTAAGGTCCCCATATATTTTGTGATTTCGATTCTTCTGGGGTTCGCTTTAGAGCCCGCTGGATCTCTGAGGTAAGATGTAGTGTGGGGTGCCTAAACAGATCCCAGGGGTCTTGATAGCAAGCTAGATTTGAGGGTTTGAGGGTGTAGGGTTTAGGGTTCAGGGTTTAGAGTTAGTTTAGGGCTTAGGGTT